GGTTTCCTCTTGGGACCAGGAGCACAAAATGTTCGCGATATTTCGGCCCGTATTGGCGAATTAGGTAGCTCCCGGACCATTGCAGGCAGGAATCGATCCTCGGGAATCCCGGTTGCAGGGACATGAAGGACCTCCGAGCGGCGAGTGAGACGTCGTAGTAGACTAAATAGATCGACCGCGTCGCGAGTAAGCAGTTGAGATAGTTTGGGCAATACTCCTTCGAGTTCCGCGTGGATGGGCACTGGTTGCCCTTTGACATGGGTAAGATTGTATAGATTGACTAAATTGAAATGAGATGTACTGAAACGAAACCATACTTGAGTATATTTGGAGCGGTGAAATGGGGATGTTTGTGGAACGGACTTACTGCCCAAGCATCTGAGATTGCCGAAAGTGCTTTGCCAGGCGATAAGACATTCCAAAATGACAGTGCACCTGGAAATAATGGGAATTTGCACCTTGTTGTTCGGTATAGTAAAACCTCGAAATTTTGTCAGCATAATAGGATGGACGGTAGTAGGTTTTACAGTCTGCAATGGGCGCGAAACTGTCATTAGTAGGAAAGCACGGAAAGCATTATAACAAACCTTCTTACCTAAACAACTCCATGTATGAAACTCGGCAGAATGGACGCCGTCGAGATCATACACATAACCGTTTCTGCAAGGGCGTTGGGCAAACTTTCGCCCCGAAGGTTGGTCGCAATTGAAGCACAAAGAGGTGGGAGGGGTGAGGTATACCTCGTGGACCTTGGTGGGGAGATGAGAGGTAAGCCCGTGCGTGCGAATCAGGGCCGCTGGATCGATTTGCGAGAAGCGAAGCCATGGAAAGGTGGTATTCCATAAAGTTTCGTATTCAGTCAGTTCGAACGGGAGATTCAATGCCAGCTTTAGGAACGGAAGCATTCGGGTATCAGTCGAAGTAAAATCCAAGGCTGAGTTCGCTCGGTGGAACACGTCGCTGGCGAGATCGACAAAGTGTATAAAATGGGTTAATGTAAGCCGTGAAGCAAGTTGTGGATGATCTTGCGTCATTCGAGTCACAAAGTCCACGAGGAGCATGGCTGAACCAATGAGAAAGGGCTGCTGATGAAATGTCAGTGTTGGTGGGATCAGGCGATTGTATTTTATTTTCTATGGGCAAAGTTGTTGTGTTGATGGATCTGGATCGACGTCTCGTTGGTGGGTGGTAAGATCTTCGGGCGGCCGTGGTATGGTGATGGTGGGGTGGTGTGAAGCACTTGTCGCGGTGCGTGGAGTATAGTAGCACTGTTCCAAGCACCCGTCGCGGTGCGTGGAGTATAGTAGAACTATTCCAAGCACGCGTCGCGGTGCGTGGGACCTTCTCGGTGTAAACCCATAAGGTGGGAGCCACGAGAGATCACATGATCCGCAGCTCTGGCGTAGTGTTCAACACGTGGGTTCAAATGTCGTATGCATATAAGCATCAAACCAGGGGTTAGGTATGACTTAAGATGGAATTCTCAGAGAGGGGTGAGAATTCTCACCAAAAATACGAAAACCGGCACTACCCGTTTCTATGCCAATTGCTTTATTCAAACTCCATTTTGCATTTTCACGTTTCACACTCGGTACAAGTGACATACAGTCGATAACATTGCGAAACGATTGACAGGGTAGCTAAATATATGCTGACATCGATGATCGATCAAGCAAGCAGATCTTTTCAATAAAATTGTGAAGCTGGATTTACCCAAAGAAAACTTGAGGTATATATCAAGACTTTTGGGAGCCTGGGTGATCCAAGCTAAAACTCACAACGAGAAGGTTTAGCTAGAATCCGGGCGTAGAGCCCTACTTGCAAAGTAACGCATAAAAAGCTATAGTAGGATATCCTTTAATTACAATTGCAACTGACTCAAAA